CTCACCTGTGCTGTATCAGCCTGTACTAGCTACATTACTTTACTGGTAGTCTCACCTGTGCTGTATCAGCCTGTACTAGCTACATTACTATACTGGTAATCTCACCTGTGCTGTATCAGCCTGTATTAGCTACCTTACTTTACTGGTAATCTCACCTGTGCTGTATCAGCCTGTATTACTTACACTATAATGTTGATTGCATATATTATATGTATGACCCCAGTCTGTATTAGTTACATTACTATACCTGTCCCCGTGGTTTTACGCACCCCGCATAATTTAGCAAAATTTGATTTTTTGGGTGCATAATTTCTAATTATTTTCCTTTATCATTTTTTGTTAAAATTAACAGAATCGCACAATTTCACATTTTTGGGCTCAGTTGGCATAATTTCAGATTTTTTGGGGCATACAACCACGGGGACAGCTATACTGGTAATCTCACCTGTGCTGTATCAGCATGTATTAGCTTTTTAAAAAAATGTCTTTAACATCTTTTTTTTTTACCCTGCCCAATTCTATCATCTGGCGCTTTTGACGAACTTTCACAAATATAATATACAAGCTGGGCCCCCTTTCGTTGAAAGGAATGATCGGTGCATTAACATCAACTAAAAGTCATTGGCCTACTATATTTACACTCTACTGGAATGGGGCAATACATCCTGAGAGATGAAAAAAAAAAAAGGTTTAGATATAGTGATGTATAGATTGATTCTCCATTCCGCTTTCGTGGTTGTACGCTAAAAAATTTCAAAGGAGTGGAAACAATGCGCACGGCTATTGAACGGAAACCTCACTTGTTTACAATGGCGTCTTAGGAGACGGACTTTCCCAAGATTAGATCTAAACGAAACTAATGCAATACTGAAAATTAAGCCACAGTGACTTCAGGCTCCTCAATAGAACTGTGCACCCTTTAAATGATTCCGAACCACCACTAATTTGGTAAAATTCGAAAGTTAAGTGGTTCCGAAGTTTTAGGCAGCCAAAGGGACGAACTTTCACAAATATAATACGGAGTGGCTACTCGCCCGATGTCGGGTGACTAGCGCCAGGCTACTCGCCCGATCTAGGATTTCTGCGCATGTTCCAGGCGAACGAATTCGGTCGATTAGCCCCGCCTGGCCTGCGGCTTCTAGCCCTTGGGGATTTCTGTGCATGTTCCGTGTTATGGCCGTGGGGATTTCTGCGCATGCTCCTTTTTTAAAATTAGAATCTAGACTTAGAAATCTAGATAGTCTAGATTCTAGATCTATAGGCCTAGATTCTATATCTTGGTCTAAATCTAGATCTACATTATATTTCATAATTTGCGTTTTTGGTATAGATAGATCTAGATTAGATCTAGATCTAGACCTAGTAGATGCTAGATGCAAAGAAGGGGTCCTACTGGCGACTGTTAGGATTTCCCGCGTTCAATTCCGATGTGCGTTTTTCATAGCCCGACATCGGGCAAGTAGCCTCACGCTAGCCTGTCCCTAGCCTCCCGACATCGGGAGAGTAGCCTGGCGCTAGTCACCCGACATCGGGCGAGTAGTATCTGCCTATATAATATATGTATAGACTAGCTGGGTATCCCGTTCGACGAACGGACTCACTCGTCAAGTCATAGTGGGTTCAGTGCGCACAGCATGGGAACGGAGTCATGAAATATCTCTTGAACACTGCATTAAAATGACGAACGGGAATATCGTAAACGGCCGATATTGTTTTCTATTTTTCTAAATTTTCAAGGCAAATGCAAGCACTTACTGAATAGATAGAAACTTAGCTTGGTTTTTGAACTACCATCAGTAATTTTTTCATGGTTCTACATTCCGTAGTTTTTTCATCTATAGAAAACAACAAACCATGTA